TGTGTTTTGCTACTCCGTCTATCATTAACTGGTGACCTCCAACTATTTACACAACTGTATTCCATAGTTCCAGGGGCTCGAATGGGTTTGGTCTAGCAAAGACACTGCTGCACCTGTATTGATCAAGCATAGTTCCTTGTGTTCCTCGATCTTCAACTTGGCCTGTACTGCCCGCGATCTACTGCTCCGATGATTGCTCTGTTTGAGAGAAAACGTGTGTACGGAATCAATCGTGTATGGGAAGAAAATGTATTAGGTCTATCGGGGAAAGTTCGTCGCTAATAACCTCGCCTGTCACAACGGAATCATACATATGTGTTTTTCTGCCGTCCGAAATATGATTTAAGTGCTGCCAAATCTTCTGTCAGTCTGTCCAATGTGACCTTCGTCTCTCTCGGTGGCTCATGATTATGGACTTCATGTGTTTGCACCGCAGTAACTTTCTAACTGGTGAACTGCCTCACAACTTCAGCTAGCAGCTTTACATCCATGGTAAGCTCCACCCTAATGAGTCTCGCTTTCTCACGTATATCTTCCGAGAGGCTGTCTGTGAAACGGTCGAGGAGTAGTTCCGAGTGCGCATTCTCATCCAATGTCGGCAGCGCGCGATCCAATAGGTCACGGCATGCGAAAGTGGGTCCACACCGACTCCGAGCTGCGCCGTCTTGAAGCGCCGGAATGCCTCCTGGCGGTCGGCCGTGGTGTCGAAACTCGGAATCACAGCTCACTCCATCTTCTCCGGGCCTCTTCGTGCCGCGTGCAACACCGCTCGTGCACGGCATTTGAGAAGCTCTCGGAGGGCAGTCAACTTGCCACGGTCCGTCCGTGATCCGGACAGCTCCGCCACATCCTCAAACTCCGGGAATATCCGTACGTCTCCATCCTCGAAGGCTGCGGGTCGTGAAACCTTCAACCTGATCCGGGCGATGGCACCAGATGCTATAACTCCAGAAGACGGTGCTGGTTGAGAATGATCTTTTATTGGAGATTTCAGATGGGACATCACCAATTTACTAAAAAAATCTAATCAGAAACATACCATCGCAGTTCTTGGCCACACGACGGGTATTGAATGTAGAAATCGATAGTTCTTCTTTGAGATCCAGCAAACTGCCCTCAGTGGTCTTGTTGATTTTTGGTCGTTGAAAGTAATCAACAACCATGTTACCTGCTACTCACAAGTGAGCAGTATCTCGCGACACTACTACTATTCAGAGACAGTATCATCTTTGTATACAGTGAAAATATGCACATTCTTCTCGTCTCCTGCATGGTTTCGTTCGCCGATTATTTGGTGAAATACCTTAATTCTTTTTCAGTTCACGCGCAAGTTCTACTGCTCAGGATACCCGATTCAATCGGCTGTATCAGCAACCGATTTCGTCAAACTTTGTAATCTAATGATATCAAATTTCCTGGAGTATTATTCTGTTCATGTTTTATTTGTATGCTATATATTTCATTATATTACCATATTCATCCAGTTAATGAATCAGCCAATCAATCTGTGTGGAAATATAATCCATTTTGGTAATTCGGTTTGTAATGTGCAATCTAGTTGGGCTATAGGTAACTTCTAAATTTATCACTGAAATATTCTACCTCCAGAAGGGTCTGATTGAACTTCTGTACAGGTAGGTATTAATCGAACTCGTGTGCTATGATCCCATATTTAGCAATATACTTCATTTTCCACTAGCTTACTGGTACATAGACAAAAGTCAATGTGTCACACAGTTTCAGTCAATTGCTATAGCTACTGCATTCAGTACTCACTATCACAACCCTTACAAGTGACCCCTTCTTTTTACGGGTACAAACAAAGGGATCAATTGGAGTTCATACGCCAAAAGGCTATGATTTTTCTCCTCCAGAGGAATTCTAAGGATCTGTTTAGGGAGAAAACACCTTAAAACGGTAAAACTACATCCAGTAATAACAGTCATCCGTCTTCTGTATTTTCTCGTTTATATTTAATATTCCAAATGGGATATATCATCGCTATCAGAAAGTAATCAATTCTCTCTGAACGACTGATTCGAGCAGTTCGACAGGTTGTTTGTCATGATATCGTGGTAAGGAGAATTACTCGCATTCCAAAATGAAATGTGGTGTTGCAAGGTTCTTATGAATTTTTAACACATTGATTTTTCCCATGGTCACCTCAACCAATCAGATTGAATTAGGATTAGCTTTCATTTTTCGAATATTTTCGCCTCGCTGCAGATAGTTTCTTTTCTTCTAAACTTCCTTCAAGTCATATAATTCACTTACTAAGATATTCCTTCTGATGGAGTACGAGGACTAGTTGTCTGGTTCGGCCTTGTCCGAATAAAATCTTTGCTGTTCTATTCCCTATTTCTCACCTTCCTTCTGGTTTTTTCATCGTTATTTCATCAACGTGTTGTCTACTCCGTAAGGATCTAGTTGGGCAAAGAAAACATGTGCAAGAAACCTGGCTAAATCAAAACATCGAGGACGTTCTCGTGCGAATAGAAGGGTTTGATTGCTACCGGCAGGATAGACAACGAAGTAGGAAAAAAACCGGAGGCGGTGTGGCTACTTACATCAGTGTTTCCTGATGTGACAAGTCAGAAGTTATATATAACTATTCTGAAAAATGCATTGACTGTTTATCTGTTCGTTGTCACCCTAAATTTTCTCGTCATAAAAGTACAATGATCACCAATGTGTATAAATCTCCCTCGTGTACTCGGACCAACATTTCTGCTTTCTCTGATTCCTATATTCCGTTTCTGGTTCCATTATTAGTTGAAAATCTCCACTTACTTGTTGGTGATTTCAATCATACAAGCATTTCTCCCTTGCTTCTGTTTGGTTTATCTGACCTTGCTCATTCTCCTACCAAAGGTAGTTCTGTGCTGGACAGAGTGATCACAAACCATCCCAAATTATTCTCTCTCAAAATAATGGCCCCGGTTTCTACCAGTGACCATAGTATTCTTCTTTTTAGACCAAAGGTATACTCTCGCATTTCTTATCAAGCATTCACACATTCTACTCAGATAAAATTTTACCTAAGGGACNGTATCTCTCTTCTCAACCGTTCTATTGTGATCGTTCAGTCTTGGTTTGGTTCTTGTCCTTCGCTTTTTAAATCTATGAATCTGTTCACTGATACGATTAAATCAATCTTTGACTTGTGTTGTCCAATGAAAACCTCGTTTGTCTGTAACGGTAAAATCACCTCAACATTTTTGAAATCACTGAGAAGGTACAAAGAACTGGCCTACAAATCTCGTCTTGTATCACTTGTAAAGCACTATTCTGAGTTGATCAGGTCCGAGATAACGTATCTCAATGCAATCTTCGTCGCCCAAATTCTGCGAACAAAAACACCGGGCTCTTATGGCAACATATTCGCCTTCTCCGGGGGCAGAAAAGAAAACATTCTAATACCTCTATGGATGTCAACAGCCTCGACGCCGCTTTCATCCACCCGTCAAACGACAGCCAGATTCCCTCATTCCTATGCAATTAATCCAGTTCAGTGCATTTTTCCAATGATTTAATCTTTAAGGTTCTTCGATCCTGCAAAGCATCCTCAGCTGCAGGCCCTAATAGTCTTCCTCCAGCACTTCTGAAATTCGGAGCAGCTTCCCTAACCAATATGATGGCATCCATCGTCAATGAGTCCCTATCTTCCCGGTCGATTCCTCATTCTTGGCATCCAGTGACCATTAGTCCGATCCCCAAATCGACGTCCTCAAAGTTCTTGCGAAACGGTTTCGTCCTATCGCGTTGACCTCAACGGCTCTAAAGGTAACTGAAAAGGCCATCCTGAGTCGGTTGCATGCAGATACCACAATTCCTCACGACCCCCTTCAGTTTGCATATAAACCAAACAGGTCTACATTAGACGCCAGTCTAGTGCATTTTGTCTGCAAGTCATTAAACCATTCGGTCAAGTCTGTCCGTTGTGCTTTTCTTGACTATTCGTCTGCGTTTGATTCTGTATCCCGATCATCCCTTCTTTTCAAACTTGAATCTTTTGGCACTTCAAAACAGCTGCTCTCATGGCTTGCTGACTATTTCACACAGAGGGTCCAGTGCACCAAATTAGGAAGGAGGACATCTTAACCTCTCGTTAATAATTTTGGTGTTCTTCAAGGTGCTGTTCTATCTCTATATCCTTTTCCTACCTTTATTAGTGATCTTTCGGTCCCACCCTCTGCGCACATCCAAACGTATGCTGATGACGTTGTTTTGTGTCAGACAGTTCCATCTCCTTCGGAATTTCATTCTTTTACCGAAAATCTATCCCACATTCAACAGTTTTCTGACCAATCTGATCTCAGCCCTAACATATCTAAGTGCGTAGAGTGTATTTTCAGTCTTTCCCACTCCGCATTTCCAACGGACTCTGCTATTCTTAACGATAAACCTGTATCTAGAATGACCTCAGCGATGTACCTGGGTTTCACCATCGACAGCAATCTTCGTTGGTCTACACATATTTACAATTGTGTGGGGAAACTGAGACGCCTATCTTTTCAGTTACGCAAACTCAGGCAATTCCGAACTCCACAGTCAGTCCTGTCATCTTTCGTTCATCAATGCGTTTAACCCATTCTACTTTATTGCTCCCCTGTAGTGTTTTCCGGTCTTTTAAAACAAAACTGCAAAGCAA